ATATATTATTTTATATTATATTTCACATGAGATGACATCTAAAGCCTCATTCAATTTATAAGGTAATAATATTAATAAAGCCCTTCTCCAGCTTTTCATTCTTAATACTGGATAAATTTTAAAAAACTTTCAATATTTATATTTAAAGACGGACTTGTCCATTCATTATGCTGCTCTAACTAAACAGCTATTTCTATTTCGGGCACCAATTCATCATCCATTCTGACATGTGGCCAAGTTTCAGCCACGGCTTTTTCTGCTAATTGAAGCTTAAGAATGGTAAAATATTTAATTACTTAAGCAATTCATAATGAAATTATGATTGATTTGATTTTACTTAAGGAATAGTAAAATATTTCATCACGTTTTATTTACTGTAAAGCTTTCTCTAGCATTTCACCTAAGAAGGGCTTTTCTTGCTAAAGTAATTAGCCTTCAGAGATTGTGCATTAATCTATGATTAATTATGATCAATATGCCGTGCTTCTCCGCCAAGTGCGCGCCACGCGGCGTATGCGTAACGTGGCGATGGAACAATTAGGCGTATGCTTAATATTGATCGCTGAGCAATCAGAAACACATTTTCATGCGCCTGCAGATAAAGCAATTAATTGTCGTGTGCTGCAATTAAAATATGAACAACAACAACCCGCTGTGGCTAGTGAGCCCAACGCAGCCTCTCCACCGCCCTCCGCCCCACTCTCACTCTCAGTCTCCCTCTCTTTTCCTTCCTTTCTCAACACTCCCCTCTCTCTCTCTCTCCCTCTCTCCATCTGTTGTCCTTTCATCTGCAGCTGAAACTGCGATTATGTTACTTGACCGCACACGGCTGTACTGTGGCCCACGACCTGTTTTATCTCTCTCTCTCTCTCTCCCTCTCTGCCTCTGTCTCTTTCCTTTCACACACACACACATACACAGAGAGTCTGTGCCTGTTGCTGGCAATCATGGCAATTGAATCATTTGGCTCAAACAGCGCATACATGATTTACGGCACACAAACAACAACAAACCGTGAGACTTAAAAACTCAAAACCTGGCCATGATTGTCGTTTTGCCAGTTTTTGTTTTTGTTTTTGTTTTATTCGTAACAAAATAAAAAAAAAAAAGTGAAAGTGCACACTTGGGGCTAACACAACAAACAGCTCTTATAGCACACACGCACATTTGCATATTTTTGTTTGTTCAACTCGGTGTGTGTGTGTGTGCGAGTGTGTGAGTGTGTGCCGGCATTTAAACGTAACAGATACTTGAGCTCTGACAGCTACCATGCAAAATGTCAGGCCGTGCGGGCAAGTCAAGCCCGTGTTATGCACAGCTATGCAGGCCTTCCATGAATGAATGAGTGAGTGAGTGAATACACACACTCACTCTCACTCTCACACACACACGCATACACATACGGATACTCATGTAAACGTGTGTGTTGCAGGCCAACAACAACAACAACAATGGAGCGAGCAGAAGTGCAACAAAATGCATGAATAAACAACAACTCAATTTGAATGGGGCAACAGCAACAACTCAACAACCAGAAATAGAAGAAGAAGAAGAGAGAGACATAGAGAGACAGAGAGGGAGCGGGCACAGCTTGCAAAAGTCGTTGCGGTATTTCATCAGGCATTTTGAAGCAGTTTTGAATAAATCCACAAAATCTACTACAATATATGTACATATATGTATATTTTCTCGCAGCGAAAACAAATGCAGTTTTTTTTTTTTTTTTTTTTTTTTTTTGCACCAATTTCAAATTAAGGCAAAACCAAAAACATTTATTTGTATAAACCAAAGCTCGCCCCGAAAAAGAGTGGAAAAACATGTGTTCTACATGCGATTGCAGTTAGCTAAATTTATGTGCGTGCTGCCTGAACAATGGGTTACAGTCTGAACGTGTGCAGTTCCAAAATAGTTGGATTGTTGAGTCTACAGAATTCATCTACGTATATGTATAAAATATAATTATATAAGTTGCAGCTCAAAATAGAAACAATAAAGTCACTAAAGCTGAAACATGCCATTCCAAATCTAGACTATAAAACAAAGAATTTTAAATTTTTCATTCATAAGTAATTCTAGGCATAGGTATAGTCTTATTAACACTTTTTAATCAAATAAAACCGGGAAACTATTTTTGTTATTTAAGCTCCAAGACATTTGCTAAACATAATTTATCTTAGCAAAAATTTAATCAAATCTAAATTCTAAATTTAAAAAAAATATATTTTGGGCTATACATTAAAATTAATTTATCTTAGCAAAATGGTAATAAAACCTGAATTCGAAATATTAAAAATATATATATACATAAATTTTTACAACTTTATTTAATTGAATATATGTACTACATAGCCACAAACAAATTGAAAAAATAATTTAGCTTAGCCAAAGAGGTCTATATCTTAAGCCACAGTGTCCTAGAGAAATAGATCGGGTTCGATATTATCGCTTGGGCTTCAATCAATTAGAAATTTTCATAAAGTTTTTATGCTTGCAATTTTTACGTAAATTATCGCAAACGTATTATTTTATAATGTAATTTATAGTATATATAAACTGAATATTTGCATATGCATTCATTTGTAACTCACATTTAATATGTAAATGTAATTCACAATTTAGAAATTAGGTGGACGTGACTTCAAAACCTATTGACCCCAACCCAATTGCGGTCCCTAGATATATGAATGAGCATTTCAATTTTATTTTATTAAAACATAAAATTAAATATAACAGCAAATTGCATAAATTTCCATAAAAATTTTTAGTGCTATTTTTATAGAAATTTAATGTAAAACAAGGAAAAGGAACAACTTATAAATAAATATTAAAAAAAAAAAAAAAAAAAAAAAAAACCACTTGAATAAGATTGTTCTTAGTGGCTCAGAGATCAAAGTGTTTATGATCCAGATCAAGTATAAATACCTCCAATAATGCGAAAAGAGCGTATTCTGTAGCAAATTATGAGAGTTATTTTTATAGCCATATTGATATCTATTGAATATTTGACACGTCAATATATATTTTTCAATTCATTTTATCCAAATTATAGTTCGAAACAAAGGTCTCTCACACAGACAAGAAAGATTAAATAGATTTGAAATTGCATTACAACATAACACCCTGAGCACTCGGTTATATCAAGTTTGTCGTTTATTTCTATTCTATTCTATATATAAATATGCATGCTATATATAAAGTTTTCTTTTTTATGCTCTTATCAAATTGATTCGCTGAGTTTCGCTTATTTGCAGAACAGACAAATGCAAATGAAATTGCGAAAGCACTTTGCAAGCATAGAAGGAGGCGAACCATGAGAGAGAAGGGAAGAGGGAGGGGGAATAGCGTAAGAGTGCAGAATAGCGGACAAGAAGAACAATGAGTATATAGCTAGAGTAGTTAAACAAACTCAAAATTTACAAATACAAAGACGCGTCACACGCACACGCACACACACACCCACAGCACAGGCAGAAAGAGTTTGACTGAAGTGGAAGTGGGTAAGGCAGGCAGGGAGGGGAAAGGGGCCGCCACCTGACGGGGTTGCCCTTCGGTGGATTGCAACAGAAATGACAAACGTACTTTTGATAGACTTGTTGACGACAAGCTCTGGCACTTGGCAGCTGTCAGCTACAGCCAGAGCGAGCGACGTAAGTGTGTGTGTGTGTGTGTGTGAGTGTGTGTGAGTGTGTGTGTGTGCGTGCGCGTGTGTCTGTCGGCCTGTCTGTGTGTGCGTGCTGGCGCCTGCTTGTTAGCATGGCCAAGCGACTATGTGTGAGTGTGAGTGTATTTTGTACTACATGTGCGAGTAACGGACCAGCGAACCAAGACCTAAACTGAGCCACATTTTTGTAACATTTTTTTTTCATTTCTTTTTTTTTTTTTTTGCATTAATATATAATGGGCGAAAATCAATACAAATGATTGCTGGCCAATGCTGCAAACATGTTTTGCGGTTCAATTTTGGTGATTGCAATTAAATGTACATTGCAATTAAATCGTTGTGTTTATTATGCCCTACCACAACACCAACTACAGCAACAACAACAACTATTTAAGTTGCAAAAGCAACTGTAGCCTATCCATTATTGCACTCACTGGTTGGTTGGTTGGTTTGTTTTGTTTTTGTATATTTACGCGCGCGTAGGAGTGAGACGAGATGACGAATTTTTAACGTGTTTTTGTGCCTGGCCACTTGCGCGTCAAATTGCGACAGCACGACCAACTCGCAGTAGCGACTGTTACGTACTAACCTAACGTGTTCACTTACGTACCGCGCTTTGGCCAACTGAAGCCGAAGTGAGTTGTAGCCGATCCGAAAGCCGAAGGCGCTGAAAGCGAAACTATAGCGTATGGGAATTGAGAGAGGGGAAGAAGTAAAAACAGCTAACATAAGAAATAATGAAAATGAAAATAATTTATTTAAAATTATTTAAAAAGTGTATACAAATACGGTAATTTTATATAT